TACTAGTCTTGCTCTAAACTTGGCCTCCTTGGTTCTTCCTTATCCACCCCTAAATCCTGTTTATTCAATTTAAGTTTTTCTCGTGCATTTTGCATCCATCCACCCCTCATCCATAGCACAATTCTTCAGCTTTGCATCCAAAGCCTGTGGTGCTTCCACATTCAGTGATGTCTGGAAAGCTCCTTTAACACACTAAATATAGAAGTCTCATAGATCACATTTATATTGGTGGATTAAAAAGGAACATTCCCAGATACTGGAACGTGATCATCTATACTGTTGAACTGTGATAACATGATATTGGCTGTGCCACCCAGCAGTCTCCCCAAAACCACTGTCAGGTACACAAGTTTTGGCCTGGGAAAAGGCCATCTTGTTCTGGGAGACCGAATTTACCCAGCCTACTCCATACTGGTGGACCTCAACGTCAGGGAACGCTGTTGGGTATGTTTCATATATCAGAATAGATATAGCCATGGTGGTCCAAGTAGTTTATGTGTCAAAATGACTGGGAATACACGAGGTCAGGTAATGGAGTCTTAAATTTAACTCCAATACGAAATGAGACAAGTGGATAAAACAATGAAGACGACACTAAAATGTTGCCAGACAGATTACCTCTACTGGGTTTTTCGATCATCTCCAGAGGGAAATTCTGACTTTCTTTTTTTTGAACTGGAGGAAGTTCCTTAGACAGTGCTTCCACATCAGGAAACTGGAGAAAAGAAAGAGGGCTTAGGTCTCCCAACTGAACACTTAGGGAATAAAAAATCCCCAAAATCAGACACCCCCCTTCCCTCCAATAAAAAAAAGAAAAAAAAAAAGGGTGCAAAGGAAACAAATAAGCAGAACCAAAGTGTTAATTATAAAAAAGATATACTTAAGTATACCTCAGATTCCAAAGTACATTTTTGAGTATGCTTTATGCACTGACAGCGTTTATCGGGTGAGATTCCAACAGGAAAGTTCCCAAGGCCGCCTTTAACCCAGGAAGGTCAGTCTTACAATTCCCTCTCTAGTTAGCAGAGAGGGCTTCAAGGGGTAAGTGAAAAGACCTGAGGTTCAGCTTCTGCTCTGCATCTGACTCTCTCCAGAGTTTATGTGAGGAACCTACAGAGTGTGGCCGAGGTCGAGGGAGGGGATTCTGCCCCTCTGCTCTTGTCAGACCCCCCTGCAGTGCTGCCTTCAGCTCTGGGGGCCCCAGCACAAGAAGGACATGGAGCTGTTGGAGCGGGGCCAGAGGAGGCCATGGAGATGATGCGAGGGCTGGAGCATCTCTGCTATGGAGACAGGCTGGGAGAGTTGGGGCTGTGCAGCCTGGAGAAGAGAAGGCTCCGGGGAGACCTTCCAGTACCTAAAGGGCCTACAGGAAAGCTGGAGAGGGGCTTTGGACAAGGGTGTGCAGTGACAGGACACGGGGCAATGACTTTGAACTGGAAGAGGGGAGATTTAAATTGGATCTAAGAAAGAAATTCTTCCCTCTGAGGGTGGTGAGGCACTGGCACAGGTTGCCCAGAGAAGCTGTGGCTGCCCCATCCCTGGAAGTGTTCAAGGCCAGGTTGGATGAGGCTTTGGGCAACCTGGAGGGTTGTCCCTGCCCATGGCAGGGGGGTTGGAACTGGATGATCTTTGAGGTCCCAAACCCAACCCAATTATATGACAAGGACATATAATTCCCAGTATCAGTTCTGCCATGACTGGCCTCTGTAATGGTTTCTTGAGAAAAATTGAGGCTGAGCTGTAGACCCACAACTGTCTTTGTGGGATTACGGCAGAAACTACCTGGCCTAACACAAACTCATTCCGTTTCCAGCTACATTACCTTTTTCCGGAAAAACTCCTTGCCAAATTCCGATTCAAAATACGGAGGAATTATTTTGTTTCGTATTGCCATTAAGGACTTCTTTTCTTCATCAAGTTCCTTCCTAAGAAAGTTTTAACATTGTCGGTAGGATAAGAAAGAAAAAAAGCATTATAGCTGAGTGCACCTTTTTTTTTTTTCAGTATTATGTTGAAAACATGGAGGAATGGAAGTGATACAGGCAAGTGGCATTTTTTTTCTGGTTAATCACACTGAATGATATTCTTGTCATTGGCAGTTTTCTCAGTGATAAATCAAGAATGGGCTGGTCTGGCATCTAGAGACAACGTCCTCCTCAGACACTGTTTTATGCATTATGGACTGTGGGGTGGCTGCCTCAAAGGGCTCCTCATCAAAACCTGCTCCAGTTCTCTAAATCTGCCCATAGCATCTTTCCGACCTTCCAACAATCATTTAAATCTGAGAATTGGCATTACAGATGCATTGTTAAAATTTATACTACAAAATTAATCCAATTTCCTTATTTTATCACAGAAAAACTTGATGGCTCTGTGGATATTGAGAAAAAGATGTTCAAACTTCTGAAGGTAAGAGTCACCAAAGTGACAACCAGCTATGTATTCAGCTTCATTTAGTGCAGTTTTACACTACTAAAGTTCCACTGACTTGCAGGGGTCTAATATCAGCTATGAAACGATCACTCTTAATCGTATTGAGAGCTTTGACACTGGCTTTAGAGCCAGAATTGCACACGATGTTCTTGGGTGCTGGCTACTTAAACATATACATTTAAAGTCATTCTTTAAATGCAAACCAGCGTAAAATGCTCTATTAAAACATAAACCTGAAATTATAAAGTTTTTCTTATCATGCAAGTCAGAAAGTAATTAAGAAGTAGTATGGATGAGAACTTAGTTTTCAATTGCTGTTTAACCTTTCACAAAAATAAGAAAGAAAAAGCAAGTTTCTGATCATAATATTAGTTCATCTCCATTTCAAGGTGCTTTGTTTAACCTAAGAAATAGTGAACGACCTAAATGACTGTCAATACAATAATTTGCAGTTCACTGTGAATGGATGTATGTAACTGATGGCTTTCTCTACGACAATCCCAGCAACACCGCTAGCTTTTGAAAAAATGAGAGAGTTAAACCATCCATCCAACATTTCTGTTGCAGAAAATATCCCATTATTTGCTAGCAAACCATTGGACTATTGCCGGGTGAAATCAGTATCAGTCTTTCCAAAACCAGACTTAAGTTGGCTCTTAATTAATAATTAATTAAATAATTAATTTTCTGTCCTACTAATACTATTACCTGTGCTCTTCTAGTCTGCTCTGCCACTTGGACACTGGTGTTACTTCTTCTGGGCTAAATGACGAGGGAAGAAAAAAGTAGTGAAAATGGGAAAACTAGCATAATGTTTTATAAGCACAAAAATATTTACAAGACAACCCTGGAAAGAAAATGCTCTTTATAAGAATATGTTATATTAACATCTCTGGTGACTCCTGACTTGGACTTGGTATGGTTTGCAGCAAAATTGTTCGCTCATATCTGCTTTTTTTATTGTGTTATTCAATCAAAGAAACCCTCGAAATCTTTTTCGAGTGAATTTTAAAGTATCTTTGAGATGAGGAAGGAGAGGCGCAGAGGGACAAAATAATCATAGGAAAAGTTAGGAGAACGTCGTGGTGTGTCCCTAGAGGTCCAGGTCCCGGTCCTTAATGACAGTAAAGCACGTTGCTTTGCCTGTGTGCTTGGTTCCATCCCTTGGGGGAGTGGCATTTGCATCCCTTCTCACTGGTCTGTCCTACCTGGACCTCTGCTGTTGGTCCTCTCTTTCTTTACTGACTGTCCCCTCTGCGTGACACGGGTGAGGAGAAGCCACTGCCTGTTCATACAGCCCGGGGATGGGAGCTGTAAGGTAAAGAGGATGCTGAGCGTGCAGGTTCTGGTAAGCACTGCCAAGTGTGATGAGTAACAAAGAAGATACACTTTTCATGCATCTTCTGTCACTTGATGAAAACCCTCAGAGTCTTTGTTAGTGTGAGGGAAGAGGCAGAGAGAACTTCATTCCACAATCAAGTTCAGAACATTAACATGGAAATACATTCCATTCAAGGCACAAAGAACCAGAAGCAGATTAAGTTTATACCCCCACCCTGCACTTCCTGAAACACCTTTAAGTTCCTTCAAGATACAAATCGAATGCCTGTGAATAGGAAAAGCTGCTGATATCCAACCACTTTCCGAGTGGGGAGCAACATTCCAGGTCTGTGTCTCCAGCTGAAGAAAGCAATATGGGCTTTCAGGGACCTTTGTTTCTTTCAGCTTAATTAGTGTGCTTAATTGTGGCTGGGAAGCAGCCACGATCAACGTTCTCACGGAAGACACTACTAGTTCAAGATGTACAACGGAGAAAAGCCAGGCTTTCCATATTTAAGACTATGGCCAGCTTTGGAGCTTTGCTAACGAGTTTCCCTGCGTTGGGACATCTTCCATAAAATGTGCTGCTTACTTCATGCCTTGCACCTAAACTGTGAGTCCAAAGCAATTTCCTTGGTTGAAAAGAAATTTCTGTGGGAAAACTCAGGAGATCTGAATATTTGAGAGGTATGATCCTATTTGATTACAAAAACAACTCTTACTGTTTTGGGAATTATGTAATTGCAAACTTCAAAATTAGTTTGGCTGGGTTTTTTGGTGGTGGTTTTTTTTTTTGTCAGCTTGTTCACCATAAAAATATACCTTTATTTTCCTTCTTTTTCTATTTTTGCTATCTTAAAGAGCTTCTTTTTGACACTATTTTCTTCATCATGTTACAAGTACGCCTCCATTTTAATTATGTTTTTAAACCTGGAAAACTATGCAGGATGAATTTGTTGCAGCAGTTTCCACTTCCTTGCACAGTATGCTTTTTTTAACAAGCAGAAATACTCTTGACAAGGCAGGAATGGCAGAAAAATAACTCTTTAAAGGCTAGCAGCATTATGGAATTGACTACTATGGATTTTTCTATGGAAAAGGCTTATGGATATTAAAATAAACATCTTAATTTTTATTTGTACCTATTGAAAACATTATTAAGTGTTAACAAGTGCCTTATGAAAGCTTTAACAGAAATCCACAAGGGAGAACTAATACACTGTTCCATCCTTCCCTCGGGCAAGGTTCATGTAACCAAAACACCCCATCGATTGAGATCAGCTTTTCAAGTGTAATAAATAACCAGGACTTACCCAGTTGCTTTGAAAAACTTGTCTGAAAAGTTGGTACTTGTATAAAAGTAACCAAGTGCTGTCATAGTTCTTAGATCTAAGAAACCTCCGTACCCGTGGAAACGTGAGTCGAAATGCCAAATCCACGTGCCCGAACACGGGAACTGGCTCACTGATGCTGACAAGGTCCGATCACCCGTGGAAGTCACACAGAAGCACGTACACAGCACACAGGTGAATTCACCTTTGTGTTCCTTCTTTAAAAACGATACTACAGTACTTTAAAACTTACTATGATATTTTACAGTTTTGAAAGACAGAGATTCAATTTTTATTACCTCCATCGCCGAGATTTTCAGTTGACTTCTCCCAGTTAGGGAAGGACTGCAATGAAGAAGGAATAACGGTGACCATGCAATAAAGAGACCTCACAACAACAGCATCCTGATCAAAGGATTTCCTTCTTAAACCAGTGTTGTCTGGTTACCTGAGAATGTGACTACAAGAACGGAGGTTTTCAGTGTGTCAGCAAACATGAGCTGGGAAAAAGTAAACGAAGTACAATTTCCCCGGTCTAAACTGGCATTTGTTTCCTTCTTGATGACCGACTTCGCAGCTGGTTTTGTATTTTATATTGTTGCTGTTCCTTAAATCAACTGAGCCAGTTCTTATTCAAACTCAAATCCTTCTGCAAAGGCTTCGGACCAGATCAGAACCTCATGGCCACAACAAGAAGTCAAATGGGAAATGTGTTCAGGAACACGTAGGCTTTATTTCTGAGGAGCTCTCCTGGTTTACAGTAAAGCACCTGAGGGGTGAGAGGCTCTAAACTCAGCGGATTCCTTTATTCTCATGCTGTGTCTGAAGCAGCTAAGGGGAACCCAGAGTTCCTGTGACCAGGCAGTCTAGGCTGGAGCAGAGCGTGGAGACTTGTGACACCGATTCCTGGGTCACAGCAGGTCCACAGTGAGACTCTGCTGCTCAGAAGACAGTTGTCCAGTGTGAAATCTGTACCTGGAAATGGGCTCATGGCAGCTGGAACAACCAACAGTAGTCACAAGACCAGTCTATTGGAACCGACCAGCACGTGAGGTTCAGCACCTGGATCTCATCAAAGCAAAGAAATGTCTGTCTAGAAGATACAGGCAGGTGGAGTTACTGATAGATCCTTTCTCCATGCTCCTCTTTCCAGAAAGGTTGTGAGTTCCTTCTTGTTTTTTTTTTCCCTAGATACTTTTTTTCTCTACTCTCTTTTAAAACTTTTATGTCACTTGGAAGTACTGAGCAAAAATATATACAGAAGCTTGTAATATCAAACAATAGGCTTTAGTTTCAGCAAAGGAAAACACTAACTTGGCTAAACAGCTCAGAGACAAATTCTAGAATTACATGGGGTTTTTTAAGCTTGTAAGGAAAAATACTAGTAAATTTATAGATCAATCCAGAAAGCTAGGAAAAGGAAATGAACAGCATTTACAACTGGAAAGATCTCATGCCTCGTGTTTCTGCATGTTGAGACAAGGTTTAAAAGGTGGACTCGAGGGCCAAGACGACGTTTGCTGGAGTACACGGACTGCCAAAGGGTGGGCAGATCATCTGGCGGTGAATATTTAAACTAACGTGGCTAGATCTCATTTTTCAAATGGAGATTTTTTAATGTTTGAAAAAATCTAGTGTGTGAATTCACATCATGCAAGTGCCAAATTAAAGGAAACAAATTATTTAAATAACTGAAATAGAGCAAACTGGTCACCCCTTACAGAAGGTGTAAGCAGCGTTTCTCTCATTCATCCTGATTCATCCCACCCACTTTTGCTGCCTGAATTTTTCTAATTTTTTTTACTGCTCATGTCCCACTAACTTCGCTGTTTCCTGACTGCTACCCCAAGTCCCTCTGTCCCTATTTTCCCACCTTTCCCATTCCTTATTCCCCTCTTTTTTCTTTTCACTCTCTAATTAGCTCTGCAAATTAGCAGAGCACGTTTTCCAAAAATATAAATGCTGCTCAGCAGTAATAACAATATTCCTCCAGATTGTTTGTGGATTATCCCAAAAGCAGGGTTTAAACTTGCACTGTGGAGGTGGCCGTGGTTGAAATGGAAGTCTCCCTCCCAGCTGCAGTGACAACAGACTGGAAACATTCTCATCCCTATGTTGGAGGATATACACATTCCAGTAATTTCGGCCTGTGTGTTTGGGAATGTATCGTTCCGTAGAGCCAAACTCTTGAACTGTTTTGAGGATTGCTTCCCCCCAAGGCTGACACTTCCAATGCAATACAGTGGGTTTGTTGGAAAAAGTAGTTACAAATTGTGCCTTTCTCACCGTAACCAGTTCGAGGAGACTTGCAGCGTTCTCCTTTTCTTCGTCTGTTCTTGGTTCTTTTACATTCATCTCTTCCAGCTCATTTTCCTGCTTTAAAATGTTGTCTATATACTCCTGGTGGAACAATGAAAAAGAACAAGAAAGATGCAGATGTTTTCTTTGCAGAGGTAGACTTAAGGGTCACATATATAGATAAAAGTCTGTAGAAATAACGGGCGTATATGCTTCTTCTCAATGTCATAAAGGCCCTTTCTGTGACTTTGTGTGAATGACTTATATGGATATCTAGAGGTTTGCATGGAGAAATAGTTTTTTAAAAAAACAAACGCTAAGCAAAGTCAAAGCCAAGTAAGAGACCCCAATATTGACAGAAAGCAAACTAGTTGTCAGCGTACTGTCTGTGACGGGTACTGGGCTGGATCCCACGTATCTGAACAGAAAAGCAGGTTCCACAAGAGATGAGTGAAAACAGTTGAGCTGCTTCAGAAATACACCTTCCTTAGAGCACCTGTTTATGTACGGAATGCTGATCGTTCTTCACGTGTAACAGATTTATTTTTTTTTGTCTCGGGCACATACTGCAAATTCACATCACCCAATCTGTCCGTTCTCTGCTGCTTACTGGGATGTTGAATGAATGTGACTGTGCTACCTTGAGGGAAAGCTGCAGCTTTTCTCTTAACTCATCGCTGAGCGGCTGGTACTGGAACAGCTGGCGGACCTGCAGTTTACTGGGACATTTCCGCACAGGTACTGGCAAGCACGTCTGCTCTCTGGATCCAATGCAGAGACCCCTCCAAACAGGTCTTCTGACTGAAGGACCTGTGATCTTCCCCTGAACAGAGAGGAGAACAAGCAAAAAGAGCAAGAGGCTGCTTGTGTTACTGACTAAATGCAGGTATTGGCAAGGTGTGTCCGAGCTGCAAAGCACAGGTCTCCTTACAACATCACACGTCTAGACAATAAAGTCAACAGATCTTGGGCACAATTTATCTATCCTAAACCCTCTTCATCTGGCAAGATGAACTCCCCTTAAAACTGCTATATCACCTTACTGAGAGTAAAAGAAGCCCAAGGTGACTACCTTTTCCCTGACACAGACTAGCTCTTGCTTTGCCTGCTTAATAAACTTGAAGCAATTATACCTCAGAAGGGCAAAACGTGTCCCAGGTCCTTGACTGAAGATTTGGAGGAACAATACTCTCTGGTTCTTTCTTCGTTTCCCAGGGGGAGCCTTCGGCCAAAGGGCGGAGGACAGTAATACTTAAAACACCTGTTCAAAGACATTTTGCTAAGAATCAATTCAAATCCAAAAATGAGGGACAAGTGTCTCAAACCTCCAGAAAAATATACTTAAGTATAAAAAAACCTTATTACCAAGTGGTAAAACTCCATGAGAAAATATGATACTCATGGCTACAGGTAGTATCAGATCACTGAAGCGCTGACAGACTAGTTGGAGGAGTTTGGATTGCTCAGACCGTGCTGCTTGTGCTACTTGCATTAAGTCTCGGTAACAGCTCAGGTGTGGAGTATCCCAAGCAAGGAAGAGCAGACTGCTATCCCATGTTCACTGAATACTAATCTTGGAAGGTGTAAAAACAAGGATAATTCTTCACTGTATTTCATACTTCACAATCTGATCACTGGATGGATTCCATCAGAGATGACTGATCATCTCTTTTTATTGTTCTGATTAATTTTAATGTTCTTCAAAATATTTTTTCCAAGCCAAACCAAATCCAAACTTCATCTACCATTATGTGCCCCACAGGTGGCCTTCAGAACAGGTATCACCACTGAGGTACCTTGTCACAATGATACAGAACGGCAGAGCCTTGCTGTCGAGGCAAACAGAGCCAGTATTAAAAAGGTGGAGTATGAAGTCTGGAAAAGCAGATGTGCTCCTATGACAAATGACTGCTGGCTGTGAGCAGGTTTTCTTTACTGAGATTTTCACTGGGTATGTATCTTCTCCATCTTCCTGAGCTTTCCACCTTCCCTATTATTCCATCTCCCTCAGTGCCCTGTCTCTTTTCCTATAGCAAAATTATTTCATTCAGTTCATATAGTGGGTCATTATTGTGGGCACATTATTAAAAATGTACAAAACCTGGTAAGAGTAGTAGGTGGGAAAGCTGTTCCCCATGCTTATGATTTAAATCTTGGAGAAGAACGTCGTAGTACTTTACAGCTTGAAGGAAACTGCCCTTATCATCCCCCCATATCCAGAGGAACCACATGATGCTGTCTTCATAAAGATATATGCCCAGAGGGGTGGTAGATGCCCCATCCCTGAAAACATTCAATGTCAGGTTGGACAAGGCTCTGAGCAACCTGATGGAGTTGAAGATGTCCCTGCTCACTGCAGGGGGCTGGACTAGCTGACCTTTAAAGGTCTCTTCCAACCCAAACTATGCTATGATTCTATATTTGTTTTCTTAGGATCTACCTGTTGTGTCACTGTATTTTATAGAGCCACAGGATCTCCAGCTAACTTCCATTGGCAGCCAACCATGTCAGGATGTGACTTCTCGCAGTGCTACTACGAGGTGGTTAGTGCCATGTACTATTGGCATCCCCTATTTCAGTCAGGTTTTTCCAGTTTCTTAATCACATATATTTACCCTTTCCAACAGCCAGACTGAGGGTCAACATCAGAGTCATCTCGTCTTCACTGATAAACAGAGTTATATCACTGATGAAGACTGTGACACACTCAGTGTTTTCTGATGGCAAACACCGAGAATCTATGCATCTGGCAATCGCTTTGCTTTGCGTGTCTGAGAGTGGATAAAGATACTCCAGTTGTTTGTTTGCTTATCCCTTCACAGTGTCATTCAGCTGATTCCCTGCTTCCTAGAGTTTTCCATAAGCTCCTTCTTCCCCTTGTTTTGCTGCCAGAAGTGTGGGTGCCTCTCTACATGGGGAAAAACATTTTCAAATTTCTTGTCCAGATAAGAGTTTTGAAGCTTCTGACTCCACTTTTCTAATTATTTCTGTTGTAAGTTTGTCAAAAAGAAATAAAACTTTCCTACCTGGATGTCCTTGTACAGGGTCCTGCAAGACAGCAGCAGCGGGATCACGACCGGCTTCGGCAAGATACTCATGTACATCCCTGCTCCGCAGGAGCTCGGTTCCGGAACCATCCGCGTGGACGATGAAGAACCTGCACAGCCAGCCACACGTGTTGGACTGTATCTGGCACAGGAGGCCAGGTGCTGGTGGGGGGTCTGCAGGGTGGCCCCTGCGAGGAGAGGCCAAGGGCTGCCCTGTGCTGGGCACCGGCTCCGACAGACCCTCTGCAGGACACAGCTGAGCCCTCAGCCAGGATGGTCCATCTCAGGGAACGTGTGTGAGAAAGGGCAAAATGCTGCGCAGGGAGTGATGAGTGGGGGAAAAAGTACAAGAAACAGCCCTGCAGACACTGAGACCAGAAAAGAAGGAAGGGTAGGAGGTGCTCCTGGTGGCTGCGCAGAGATTCCTCTGCAGCGTCTGGAAAGGGCCATGGTGGAGCCGGTATCCACACTGCAGCCTCTGGAGAGGACCGTGGTGGAGCAGATATCCACACTGCAGCCTCTGGAGAGGACTACATCAGCGCAGGTGGACTGTTTCCTGAAGGAATTGCAGCCCGTGGAGAGCCCATGCTGAAGCAGGTTTCACCGAAACGACTGCAGCCCAGTCGAGCAAGGGAAAAGTGTGAGGAGGAAGGAGCAGCAGAGATGAGCCGTTATGGACTGGTGGCAACCTCTCATCCCCTGCGCTGCTGGGGTCAGGGGGAGGTAGAAAGGTCAGGAATGAGGCAGTGATGTTGAACTTGAGAGAAAAAGGGGATGTGGGAAGGTTTTTTAGCTTTTGTCTTTGTTTCTCTATTTTAACCGGCAATAAATTAAATGAATTTTCCCCAAGTTGAGTCTGCTTTGCCTGTGATGGTAATTGGCAAGTGATGTCCCTGCCTTTATCTTGGCCCATAACCTTTTACATCTCATTTTTCCCCTCGTCCTGTACAAACACAGTGTAGTGAAGAATGAAAGTGAAAACCTGTGAATCCAGTGCAGTTTACCTGGGGACATGTGCATCGTAAGTGCCAGGTTTGGTAACTTCTGGAAGCGCTGATGCTGAGCTCCTGTCCTCCTGGTCACCGGAGTCAATGCCAGGAACACACACAGACGTGCTGCCATCAGCCATAACCTGTGACAGAAATCATCTAAAATGACTTGAGTTACACGATGCATTTGAAACAGTGACTTGCTGCTGAGGTGTAATATGACCTGGCCCAGTGAGAGACAGAAAAAACATATTTCAGGTTGAGCAACCTGAAATTTACAGGAAAAAGAAATGCATAAAAACTGAAAAGACAGTGAAAAAAGCAAACCAAACATTTCTAGAAAGACATGCCGTATCACAAATGCTAATATCACACGCTGGTGTTTAATAAATGCTCAAGGATTGTTAGTTAGGTACCCGTGCACTCCGACAGGCACTGTGAGGTATATAGGTAGCTATGTAAATCCATCTACACCCACAGATACGCACAAATATATACAGAATTATATGTATGTCTATACACTAACGTTAGCTAATAATTCCATAGTAAATACATATATACTCACATATAGATGTATATATAAATATAAATGTATGTATGTATGTATATAGATGCAGGGGGGGGTGTGTGTATAGGTATATAGGTGAGTGTATGTAGAAATATATACCCCTACATATACATACATTTACATACATGTTGACGTATGAAGAAATATATATATGCATTATATCTACCTACCTATATATACACACATGTATAAATATTTACACACCTATACACACACTGACATATGAAGAGATATAGATGATACCAATTATATATTTATATCTATCTACCTGTACATACCTATAGAGAGAGATATATATGCATAGAGGGGTCCCTTTTTAGACATTTATTCACTTTCAAATATGGTCTCAGATCATCTTATGATAACAGTGGATTTCTACAGTATTTCCTTCTTGTGATTATTAACTTACGTGCCATTACCATATACGCAGAGGTAGAATGATGCCTCTGGTTCTCAGTGCAGTCAGCTGGAGGACAGATGCCTTTGGAAGACACAGTTTAAACCAGAGTGATTCCAAGGGTGGTCCATGAACCGACTCTGATGCACCAGTCCACACCCTTTTTGCTGTAGTCTCAGGTGTGACCAGGACAGAGGAAGAACCAACCCTACTACACCTGTACCTGGCTGCCATCCCCACCAACCACTAATCTCACCTTTGTTACCACACCCCCATATCCCCTGGGATCATTGTCCCCACAACACCTTCAACTGTCCCACAGCCTCCTCAACCTCCTTCCTTTGTTCCTCAAGTACCAGTTGAGGAAAAGTGGGATGTGCTGATGCTGATGCCAAGCAAATTCTATGCTGCTCTGAATTAGCATTGATTTTGTAGGAGCTTGATGTCTTTGAAATTTCTACCTCTTTTTTGATTAGTTCAAAATTTGTTAGGGAGAGACTGACAGATAGCATAGGTTTATATAAGCACTCTATAAGTTTCTTCAGCCCAGGAAACCAGGTTAAAAACTGTATTATAATGTGTATGTCCAGCAGAACGCCAGTGCTGTTTCACAGGAATCTGGGAAAATGGTAATGATTACAATTGCAACAACAGAAAGTACACTCTAAGGATGTCACATTTAGAATCTTTAATTAGAAAACGCTATGTAGGTCACAGACACTTAGAAGATTTCCTGAACTCAAAATTAAGTACTAACCTAGCTCAAAAGTATCTCCTAGGTGTGAAAGGATCACAGCATGATCAGTATGACTTTGAAGACTGAATCTTTCCTTTTACAATAATATTTGCCTTACTGGGCAGATTAGAGTGGTCCATTTTTCTGTGGACCTTCTGAAAAGCCAATATCCCCTCTCGTGTTTAATCCTCACTTGCAGAGATGATTTTTTGCTGTAAGACAAGTCAAGCTGATAAGGTGACTTTACAGTGAGGTAAACTGTAGACCATGTGTTTTATTTCAGTCTCTCTAAAGAGGGGAAATACCAAAAAAGGGAAACCCATCACGTCCTCAGGAACATTTCAGAGACCTGATTCAGGAGCTGTTCCTTCTGGCTAGCTCGGCTACTTTAAGTACTACAAGAATCATAGAATGATAGAATGGTTTGGGTTGGAAGGGACCTCAAAGATCATCCAGTTCCAACCCCCCTGCCATGGGCAGGGACACCCTCCACTGCACCAGGTTGCTCAAAGCCTCATCCAACCTGGCCTTGAACACTGCCAGGGATGGGGCAGCCACAGCTTCTCTGGGCAACCTGTGCCAGTGCCTCGTCACCCTCAGAGGGAAGAATTTCTTCCTTAGATCTGATCTAAATCTCCCTCTTTCAGTTTAAAGCCATTGCCCCGTGTCCTGGCACTATACGCCCTTGTAAAAAGCCCCTCTCCAGCTTCCTTGCTACAAGCTGACTTTGAGAGATGTTTATAAGAAAATTACTTAAAATGCAGGAACTTGTTTGATTCCATGTATTTTACCTTGAAAAGATTTCCTTCAGGATCCATCATCTCACAAATAGTGCTGGAAGTGTGTTTCATGATGTATCTCCCTGCTTGTTTCTCTTCTTTCTTGCTACTGAAATTGTAAACTTCATGGGTATAAACTGCTGAGCAACCTTCATCAATGAAAAGAGAGCCTGTCTTCATGGGTAAAACCTATGACAGCAAAAAGGGAAGAGGTTCAGTCCTGAAAGGTGAAATCTTCAGTTTAGAGGTACCAGGAAAATGAAGAACAGAAGCAAACCAAGGCGACAGCTCTCAGACTTCACTACTGAATCATCCAGTTTTGAGGGACTAGAGGGTAAGAAAGAAAGAAAGAAGATGAGGTCCAGAAGATAGGCTGGTATTAGCCGAAACCAAGGGGAGAGCTCTCAGACTTTACTACCGAATCATCCAGTTTTGAGGGACTAGAGGGAAAGAAACAAAAATGATGAGGTCCAGAAGATAGGCTGGTATTAGCCTCTGTAATATTTGCTTTAACTTCAGGAAATTTAAGATTTAATTATACTACACTATATGTGATTTAAATAGACTATACAGTTGTGAGGAAATATCTAAATATTGGCAGAGTATAAAAGAGGGGGAATCACAGGATTTGTGAAGCCCTTAAAGAAGGGAGTTAAAATAGTCAAGGTGAGAGACTGATGGCAGAGATCTTGGAACACAGAGATAAATTTCACTATCACAAACTAAAAATAATTCCCACCTGATAAGTTCCCTGTGGCTTGGCTATAATAGATGTGCCATCTCCAAAGACGGTACAACAGGTACCGTCCTCACAATTCCTTGTAACAGTAGCAAACTCGGGATTCTCTACTTGCACACATCTCACCTTCCTTGGGATGGCTTCTGAGGGTTCAGCTAAGAATTAATACAGAACAACTAGACAAGAGCACACGAACCATGAAAAGGTCTTTGGATTCAAATTTGCAGGAAATAATTTTATACTTCATGTGAATTGCCAAAGACAGAAATCATCCAGCAAATGAACCAAGCACACAGAACATACTGGCAGCCAGAAGAAACACAGATGACCATTAGCCCCACTTGTTTCAGGCGAGTGTAAGTTTCAGTTCTCTAAGTGTGGCATTGTTCAGGGCCATATTCAATCACATTTTGAATATCTTCAGGGGTGGTGAGTCCATGGCCTCTCTGGAGAATACAAGGATGCCCTGCTCCTTGCACACCTATTCAGTTAAGACTCAAATCAGCTTGCTTGCCAGTATCAGGGTAGGTGGAGAGAGGGCAACGAACGTACGAGAACTTGGACACTGAGGTCTTGTGGTGAAGGAGGGTCACTATGTACAGGATAAAAAGGAAATTTGCTTGTTTGCTATGATGTAATTTTTGCATTGAATATTGATTAAAAAAAGACCGAGCGGACACACTAAGCCTGGACTGCACCAGTGGATTTGTTATCTAGGCTGTTCGTATGAGCCATCTGTAGTGTACCTTGACAACTACCTGCTTCACGAGATACCGCAGAGAGAAGTGCTCCCCTTTTGATTTTACCTGTTTCCTCGTCATCCTCAGGTACAAAAAGGTCTTCACAGTTTTGATAGAAAGTTGTGATCCTAGTACCATCAGCATGATCTACTACTCTGCTACCATCCAGCTTCTCAACAATTATCACTTCATCGTCTCGTACAGTCATGACCTGAAGGAACGAAGGAATGCTCATTCACAGGAGCACGGTGACACTTGTAACAGCAATGACAGTAAGACAAGGCACTATGTGCTGAAACTCTGAAGAAGCTGGACTACTGCGACTTTATCTACTTCAGAGACCGAGGAATCACAGTTTCTTCAAAATCTAAAGCTTTTGCATTACTGAGCGTGCTAACACAACCTGTAGTGTATGTGCTCAAAGAACAAATCCTACCACTTTTACGATGGCAGCCCTGCCTCTGAGCTTAGCAGACAGTGCTATAAAAACACCAAAACAGCAATACCGTTCCATCAGCTGGGTCAGTCGCCCGATAGATCAAGAGTGGCTTCGGATCCGTTCTCTGCGCTCCCTCAGTGCCCACTCGAATGCCTGACGGAGTAGTTGTTACCCAGGTTCCTGCCTGGCTCTCCTTAGGTTGCTCAGAATTAACCAGACCCTGAACAGTATTTTCAAACAACTCATCCTTGGTTGGGTGTGATACACTGTTTCTGTCCCTGCCTTTTCCTGCAGAAACAAAAATTTCTCTATCAGACTTGGTATCCTCTAAGGCAAAAAGCAAAATCAACAAAGTGCAGAGTTGCTGTGAATATTGGTTTTGACAGAATCAAAAAAAGAACTATTTATCAGGATGGAAGGAAATGGCAAGTCTTTTTACTCAAAGGTGTGCCCTTGAACTAACCTTATTTTCTGTGTCATTAAGGAAGACGTTAAAAGTAACCAGCATGCTAATGTAATCTAATTAGGACATGACTTTGGAAGGGACTATCAATGCAGAAGAAAATCAGAATGGTTTACAGGAAAAAAAAGCATCCAACACTGTCCCATGACCTTGAAGATTAAAGTAAGAGGAATCTGATACAGCCTATTAGAATGAAATTTAATGTGAAAAGGAATAAAAGTAATTTCTGCTTCAGACACGTTTACAACAGCAGAAGAAAGACCTGGAGGTATCATCCATGCAGAATGACTCCAAGTTACCAGTGTGAAAATACAGTGACAAAAAAGGCAAACACAATCTTATGGTGCATCAGAAGAAAAGGGATGGAGATTCCACTGTGAAAGGGAATTGCAGAGATCTTATTAAAAATGTGACAGAGCGCTCTGGTCTCCCACATCCAAGGAAAGGAACTTAGACTAAATGTAAGCAAAAGAGAACAGTATAGTCCAGAGAGGAGTCTAAAAGGCTTAAACATCCTAGCAGAAACAAAACAAAACCAAAACAGAAGGAGATGAAATTGTTCACTATAGATTTGTCAAGACTAAGCAGAGGAGAGGGAAGGGGGGGAAGTGATTGTAACTAAAGAATAAGGAATAAAGGACATACACGGGTGACAGATACTGAAACTGAAAATTAGAGGACGGTTTGTCAGAGAAGCTCTCCAACATGCTTCCAGTTATCCTAAGGAATATCCTAAGAACAGGGACTGGACTTGATGACTCAGAAAGTGTCTTTTTCAGAGACCTTTCTCTGTGGCAGCAATTTTTATTCACACACTTCCAATAAATTATAAGTTAATGTTATGACAGGTCATAATTATTCCGTGCACTAAGCAGCACTGACGGTGATCTCGGACTGCACTCTGAGGCACGAAGTAAACTTTTATTTGGTCATTTCTCAAACAAAATAAGGTAAGGACGGGACCACAAGTCCATACAACCAATTTACAATGACCAAGAGTAGGTGCTTTGGAATACAAACAATGAGAAAGAAAAATGTAAGTCCTCTGTGAGAGAAGCATTTCTCAATACCAAGACTAAAAACTGTGCAACACACAAGTGAGGATTTGACACTACTACAGTTACGAGGATTTCTTTTAAAACCCTTTGTGTTGAATCACTCTGCTACTGATGCAATTCTTACACACCTTGTTACTTACTAGAGTCCGAGCATGTTAGAAGAAAAAGAAATCTGGAGTAGGAGAGAAACGATTTGCTACAAAGGTAAAAATTAGCAGTGTGCAGCAGCTGAGTACAGATAAAATTGCATTTTCACATTGACAGAGTTTTTGGACTAAAGAAACACGCTTTTTATTAAGTATCATCAGCCCTGTTAGCTTGAAATCTGCCCAAAGCACTGGAAACGTTACCCTTCTTAGTGCTGGTCTCAGGCAAAGGCTCCGATTCTGGGAACAGCTGCATGTTATCTGGAAGTGCAGGAGGTGGAAGGACAGGGCCAGAATCAGGACTCCTACTCACTGTGCCATCAGCAAACAGAACCTACAGCCATCAAGGACATAGCAGAGGTTAAAATCACTTCAAACACCAACAGAAAGTCTCAAACAAACACGTCGCAAATGCAACAGTCACTAGAATGTCGTGGGTGATGGAGGGGAAGAAAGTAAAAACTCAGCATGAACACAAGAAATAGAGAAGTTATCTCACAAAGAAAGGACTGCAATTGTGGCAGTTGCATCTGAAATTAATGGGGATCCTATTTAGCAACAAATAGGTGTTACAAAAGTAAACAGTAAAGATTATTTGATTATTTAAGTGGTCAAAGGTTGATGATTTTTTTTTGTAGCAGTGGTAATGCATCTGTATCATCATATTGATCTGTATTCAGGTATTCCACGTCTGGGATTGCTGTTGATTTTTTAGCCACGAAGACAGCCAACAAAAAGAAGTCATGGTTATTTATCCGGTTGTAGCTGGTTTCTGAGATCTATTGTCCATCACACTCGGCTCTTGATACACACGTTCCCCATGTGGCAGGGAACAATCGTCCCTGAATCCAGTCACAAACCCAGTACAGATGTGCTAGGGAGAAGACGGTACAAGGTGGAAAACAGACGGACAACAAACATCTCAAGAGCTACAGTTACTGTAAGGTAATCGACTATTTCTTCTTTTTTGAACACTTATCTACAGGCAATGCATTCTCCAAGAGTCACGAACATGAAGTCACTGCGAAGAAGGATGAGCCCATGATCTGCTTACACAGAGACCATGGTACACTCATGCCAGGCACATAACATCTCTATTGTTCTGTCGGGAGATAGTACGTTAAGAACATATAGACAGCAAGCAGCTGCTTTGCATACGTTTGAGATGGGTATGTTTCTCAGAAATCCTGCCTAAACAGTTTAAGATCTAATATAACGAATGAACGTAAAGATTTTGCACGAGGGGGCTGCGGTCTACTTAAACAGAAAAAACCTTGAGGAAATAAGGACTTATTTTGACAGTTTCTGAGTCAAAACAGGTGATTCCTCTTTCCATCAGTTTGCTAATTGCACACAGAGTCTTAGACTTTAAAAAGACAATTGCTTGTAGATTGATCACAGTATCTGCAACGATGGTGGCTAGCCTATAGCAACTGGAAGGCACCAGAATCCTGGGAAACCTAAATGTGTGTAAACAAAGAAGCTATTTAGGAATACAAAGTCTTTTTGATGAAAATTTAGGATACCTAAACGTGTCTGCAGGACTGAAGAATAGTTCAGGTCTTTTCTGGATCCCATATGACTGTTTAGATGACTGAAAAAATATGTAGATGCTTTTGTGTTGCCAAAGATACCCAAAGCTCAACTAATCCACGCTTCAGATGGTTAAGTGCAGCAATGTAGTTCTCAAAACCATATTTAGCTATTCCCTAAACCCAAAGTTACCTAAAATCTTCACATGGCTAAAATTTTCATCTTTAAAGCTCCCTGTGTGCCTTAAGTTCTGGTTCTGAACAAAGCCAAGAGAATTTTAGTCTCCACACGGCTGCATAACTCAGTGGTTACTTAACTCCTTCATCTATGAACTGGACACTTCTCTGTCTCAGCTGACAAGCACAAGTTCAAGGGTAATCACACACGTAGGCTGCTTTCAAGGAATTCTACTGAACATACCTGGGTAGATCCATCCATCATGTACTTTATGACAGTTCCTTGGCTGGTGATGACTCTTGACATCTCTTGTTCTGTTCGCCTTGCCACAGACGTATGTAGATGAAAGTTCTTTACCTTTTGGGGATAACTCTGCCTAACCAGAATTTCCAGAGTAGGCTGCTTGCTCTGTTCTCTCTTGGTGTCTTTGTGCTTTATTTCACCTTCTGTAACCTGATGTTCCTGCTCTTCACTTTCCATAACCTCTTCCTCCTTTGCTTCACGTGCTTTGGCCTTGCCTTTCTCAGCCTTCTCTTCCTTGGCTTCATCTGCTTTGGCCTCACTTTTCTTTACCAACTCTTTCTCAGTTTCAGCTGTAGTGGCTTCACTCTTCAAATCTGAAAGCAAATTCTGGATTATTTAATACTGCATAGCACATATTCAAACAGTGCTGAGCACCCAGCACCATGGTGTCTACAGAAGGTATGCGACCTTAGGTGAGTCACACTGACCCTCCTTGGCTCCCCGTGTAATCCACAGAGTCAGGGACAGACTCTGTTTCACAGAGAACAATTCCAAGCAGTCATCTGCTCAGAAACTCTGCATCCTCCTCTGGAGGTGTCTGTCTTTTCAAACGGAAAGAAGGAAAATTTGTAGATGGATTCATTACGGATGCTGAACTTCTGGAAGGCTGACATTAAGTGAGAGGAATTTCCTAACTGTCCATAGAGATGAAAAAAGTTACTGAGTTTCACCAAGTTTGAATTTGTATAGAAACTGAAGTTTTGTCTACTTGAACACATAAGGTTTTAAATTAAATTAAGGGAGCGTGTTGAGTACGCTAACGAGTACAATTATGGTAGTTGTGTCACGAGACGACATGCACGTGTCCGTAACCGCTCTGTTCACCTCGACTACTCAGCATTTCAACCTCTGTTCCTTTCCAAACTACACATGTTTGAAAATCCTCTGCATCCTCTTTACGTCGTACCCGACCGATCAGAGCACGTTTACCCTAAACTGGCCAAACCTACCAGGCTGGCTGCATGCACAGGGGCATCACTAGCAGAGACATGGATGCGATCGTCCCACTCTACTCAGCGCTTGTCAGGCTGCACTTGAAGTACTGTGTCCAGTTCTGGTCCCCACAATTCAAGAAAGACATGGACAGGCTGGAGAGGGTCCAAAGGAGGGCCATGGAGATGATAAAAGGGCTGGAGAATCTGTCTGTGAGGAAAGACTGAAGGAGTAAGGTCTCTTCTCCCTGGTGAAGGCTCAGTGGGGGACCTCATCACAGTAATCCAGTACTTAAAGGGCAGCTACAAAGAGGACAAAGACTCTCTTTTCACAAGGAGCCCCATGGAGAAGACAAGGGACAATGGGTACAAGTTGCACCAGGAGAGGTTTCACCTCAATATAAGAAAGTAATTTTTCACAGCGAGAACAATCGTTCACTGGAACAACCACACTGGGGACATGGTAGATGCCATTGCTGCAGATTTTCAAGGTGCGACTGGACAAGGCCCTAGATAATCTCATCTTGGCTCCCTTTTCCACAAAAGATCATCCACCAGATGATCCCCTGAGGTCTCTTCCAGCCTGGGCTGTTCTACGATTTTGATATTAAAAGGACAAGATGCTTGAGAAGAAAAGTGAGGGAAGCTTTTACTAGCAATTCAAGTCTGTGTGGACAAAAAAAAAATAAAATAAAATCAAGACATTCCTCTCTCACGTGATTATAAATTTGTGCTGGATCCTTGTGTACCATACTACATTTATTAACACTATTTAGTACAAATTGCTTATTTTTTATTGATTTATATACAGTGGACTTACCACTTAGCTGGTTTTTAAGAGGTATGTTGTTTCATCAGTTGGCAGGAAGACAAATGATTCTGCTGGTTTTTATGCAACAGCTCAGGCACAGGATGTGTTAGATTCACTGCTAGTGTGTACTTGGGGTGTGATAAATCTGGTTTACTCCTGGCTACGGGCACCTCTGCAGTCGTGCTGATCTATTTTCACGTACTCAATACCTCCAATTCTTATAGCAGCCTTCCAGTACCTAAAGGGGCTACAGGAAAGCTGGAGAGGGACTTTTGACACGGGGGTGTAGTGACAGGACACGGGGCAATGGCTTTAAACTGAAAGAGGGGAGATTTCGATTAGATCTAAGGCAGAAATTTTTCCCTCTGAGAGTGGTGAGGTACTGGCACAGGTTGCCCAGAGAAGCTGTGGCTGCCCCATCCCTGGCAGTGTTCCAGGCCAGGTTGGATGGGGCTTTGGGCAACCTGGTGTAGTGGAGGGTGTCCCTGCCCATGGCAGGGGGGTTGGAACTGGATGATCTTTGAGGTCCCTTCCAACCCAAACCGTTCTGTGATTCTATGATACAGCCTGGGCTGGACAGGTTTGGTGTACACAGCCATTAAATGACATCTATAGGTAGCTGTTTTTAAAACTAACCAGATGACAACAGCAAAATTCACATTTTTCTGCCTCAAAGCCTAACAGTGCGACTACAAAAATCCGAGATTTACTACAGTCTACACTGTACAAAGATGAACTTCACACTGGTTTTCAAAAACACTTGAGAATTGGAGTCATTGCAGAAGGATGTTGGGAACAGAAGTATCTACACAGCCTATCAATCCGCAAAAGGAAATTCATGGAGAAGGGTAGGAAGGCGTATTATGACTGTCTTCTCTGCACGGCATAAACCAAAGGACCTAGGTGAAGAAACTCCTGTTTGAAACTGATTGTATCTTTCAGAAAGGCAACAAAACCTGACTGTAAAACACACAGTAGCAGAGCCCATCGCAGCCTGGGTTAGTGGTGTTAATCATTCTTACCATTAGAAAACCAGTATAACCTAAATCTAGTGTGGAGTACTGCTTTTCAGTTTCGAGCCCCTGAAATTCAGAATACCTTTGTGTGCTGTGTTTACAAGCTAGCACCAAAATTCTGTATCCTTTGTACTTCCAGACTGGCACCAGTCACTCCTTTGACCTTTCCTTTGGTAATTAAGTTCAGTTCTCTGCTGACATAAGCTCACTACAATATACATCTCCAAACGCTTTAATCATTCTCGTCATT